GAGAGAGTTAGGTCAACAACCCTCTGGCCACAGGCTTGGGAGAAGGAATATTTTGCTTGTGGAATTAGCTTCTGCTTTTCAAATGTGTGGAGATTCTCTCTCTCTCTCTCTCTCTCTCTCTCTCTCTCTCTCTCTCTCTCTCTCTCTCTCGTAAAATGAATAGGGAATCAAAAGAGAGTGCTTTGGCTTCACTGAGAAATCCACAAATATTTCTCAGAATTTGTCAGCACAGATGGCGCCGGCAAAACAGCATCAGACAGCCCCTTAGACACAGGATAATCTCAATGAATAGGAGATTTTCATTGTTTTTAACATCATATCTGCCTTCCACTATAGTTAACTTTTCTGCAAAACAAGGGGACCCCCAGAAGGAAAGAGGCACCCTGAATCCTTTGGCTTTTGTTTCCAGTCTGTATTTTTCTAGTCTGAGCATGCAAGCGGGGCTAAATGAAAAGACTCATTCCCAGTAGACTCAGAAGGCATATTTTGTGTTTACTAGTGCCAAAACACACCAAAGGATTAGGTGCTAGAATGGAAAATGAATTTTCTCCATTTCCCGATTACTTTCACAGGGCTTTGTGTTATCTTTAACTTTCCTGTTATAAAACACACTTACACACACAGCCTAAGAGAAATTACTAGGTCCTTTATTTATAACTTATATTTCTTGGTTTTCACAGAAAGAGATGACTACATTAAGGGCTTGAATCTCACTGCTGCAGGGTACAGAAAAGAGCTAGAAATTGTGGGCAGGCTGAGCCCGGCAAGGATAAATTAGCCTACAACATCTGATTACCAGGAAGTTATACAGGGCCAGAATCAAGATATCATAGGTTGTCATCAGGGAGTAAATCAAGCAATAACTCTTTCTAGAGGGACACAAGATAAAAAATATGTCCTCTGCTCACAAATGTGGGATGGCAAGCGAGGTTTTATATTTTCATAATCTCCACCCCCAGTTACCAATACAAACATCTGAGTAATTACAAGAAAAGGCTGGGACATAGTCTATCCTCCCAGTCTTGTGAGACATGGATGCCTGGATTTGCAAAGTTTTGAAAAATGGGACATTGCTACACTGGATCTCAGAATAAAATTCTGTCTCCTGTTAGAAATTTTGGTGACCCATGGGTTACAAGGATACAAGGCTACTTAGGACTTCAGGCTTCTTTATTCTCCCATTTCTATACAAATGACAACAGCCTCTGAGGGTGGCTAGCACTCATCTTCTGCCTCTAGCTCTCAGTCAACCATCTAGCTTTGGAACTTATGGGCACCTATCTATGTTTTGTTACTAAAAATATTTACTTTCTACCATGCAATGGGAGTGGGGCAATGGGAAGACCACAGTGACTGACTTATGCTCATCAGAGAGCTGAATTTTATCATAAGGAAATTTATTATTCAGAGCATTTTACCATCTGGAAACCTGAAGAAAGGAACCATAAACTCTGTTCTCAGCTACCAATCAAAAGCCATCATCCATGTGTATAAAATTTCAAATGAGCTGCCAGTCACCATACTTTTTACTATTATGTATCTATCAATGTTATCAAAAGCAGTTATCCTCAAACACTAAGAAGGGAATTAAATAAAAATGAAATTAAATAATCTATAGGTACATGTTAATGATTAGAAGAGTCCAGATTTTTAAATATTCTACATCATATTTTATAGTATTTATATTTAAAAGTACATTTATAATTAATCATAATTAACTAACATGGCAAGTATTCTTGAATGTAATAAAAGCTGAAGGATTTTACTTCATAAGGGAAAAATAAGTTCCTTTGCTTACACAATTTGGAATTTAATAATTGGGTAACATGTTTGTGCAGTATAAGCAGAAGTATAAGTACAAGCCAAATAAATATATTTACAAATTCAGAAAATCCTTCCAAAACAGATGGATATTAATTTCATTTTAATCTATACAAGAATAAGTCAGGTATTGATAAGTATCAACGAACACAAAGTGAGTGAGTTTGATGACGATAATAACTGAAATGATCATAAGAGAATGAGTGTTCGCCCCCTGATTCTGCCACAAGCTTCCTAAGTGATCTTGACTAGAACAATTAACAAATATTTAGGGGATATTGTGGAAGACTTTGGACGGGTGGGAAAGGTAAGCCCTAAAGCATAGCTAACACTGAGCAGATTGAGTCTATTACATCAAGGGAAATACGAACTGAACACAGTGAGAAGTTAAACAGAACAAAGGCTACTTCCTGCCTGAGGAGAAGAGAGCTTGAAGGAAGGATTTATGGAAAAATTGCATTTGAAATGAGCCTTAAAGAATGGATAAGTTTCTAACAAGAAACTCTAAAGTTGGAGAGCCCTTCAGAACCAGTGGAAGAAAAACTTTAGAATGTGAAGTTGTGTTCAAAGCTGTGGGTCAAATTCAGCTACCAGGTGTCTTTAGCCTGGGAAAGATCATCTAATCCCAAGCACTCTCTTTTGGACTATCATTGACTAACCTTCTTCATTTACATCATCTGACTGGCTCTGCCGATACTTGTGTCTGTGACACTTGTAATAGACAGCCATAACTGTCAAGAAGCCTACACCGTACTTTCAAAAGAACCAAGAAAGCCAGTAGAAGCAGAATCGGAAAGCATCAAGATTACAGCTGTGCCCTGGGAAACAATCCCTTGTGTCACTATAGTGGAAAGAAAGGTGAGTGAGTACCAAGGAAAATACAGGGTCAGGGAGGCAAGTAATTTAGGGATGGGACAACCAGAATCTATGCTAGGGATGCGGAATGGAGATAAGGGAAGGTCTGGATTCAGAAACAGGTCAGAGAAAAACTCAGTTGTTAACTGGATAGTCTGGTGAGGAGCCAGGTAGAATCCATTATCTATTTAAACATAATTTTTAGCTCCAAGGTCTAGGCAAATATTGATATTATTAAGATAGAGAGGAAATGAACAAGAACAGACTTATTGAGTCTGGAGGTTGATGAGCCCCAAGAGTTTATAGGATGCTGAAGTAGGAATGTCTAGAGAAGTGGCTGTCACCTGGGTTTGCAACAATTTGGCCTCTGCCCACTCACTGCCACACACAGGAAGTATTTAGAAATGACTGGAGACAGTGTTGGCTGATGTCACTTGGAGAAGGGACAACACCTAAAACATACAGCCCAGGGACACGGCTAAACATCCTCAAATGTACAGGACGGTCCCCGAGAGGAAGGCTGATCATGCATGTCATCTGGGCAGAGGTTGAAAAATCCAAAAATAGTAGAAACTCCTAACCCAGACTTTTAGAAAACAGGAATAAAGAGGAGAACTTTTAGTTATTCATATTTCTGTGAGAGATATGAAGGAAAATTAACTACAAGGCAAGAGGAGAAAGAGAAGCAGGTGGCTGACAATATCCTAGGTGCTCTCGCCTCTTTGGAAATATGAGTTTATTGGGTGAGATAATGTCAAAGGCCTTTCACATTAAAAACACAATGATTTTATGAATGTTATCAGCAAAGGTGAGCCTAAAAAGATGGATATGAATGGGGGCAGAAATGAATGTGTGGAAGTCTAAACACTGAAGATACATTCCAATCTGTATGCAGGAAATATTATCTGTGGCCTATGAATTTCATCTGCAAATTGTGAGTAACCTGGCCAGGCAAAAAAGGGCAAAATGAGAAGACAAAACAATAAGGAAATGAATGGAAGGCAAGGCAAGGCACACTGAGGACATAAAGACATCTTCTAAAGACTTTCAAATGAGCTTAAGGAACAAGACCAGAGGCTATTCTCAACAAGTTTGTGAAATTGTGATACTGGAATACATTCCATGCACAGTAAAATCTGCTTCTTGGGTAGTATCATCAATGTTTTTCTAAAGCTAAATTAACCTGACATGACAAAACAACAAGCAACATCTTGCACAATTCTTTTGCATTTAAATAAATTTGGCTGCAGCCTTGCTCTAGGGGGCTTGGCAGGTGCAGGGAACACTGAGTGGGTGGGCCTGGAGAGGGAGGGTAGCTCTCTGAAGCCAAAGACTGTACAAGGATGCTGTGGGCAACCTGACAGCTCCAGAAAGCCGGGCATAGAGGATAAGATTGCAAGAAACAATAGAAAGATGGTCCTTTCCCATCAAATCGTTGTGTACCCTGCAAGATGAACTATACCTGGGAACAGAAAATTATTGCCGCAAACCACAAGCAGCATCAGAAAACAGGACAGAGAGAATGGAAGGAGTGGCCAGGATAAGACCCAGTAGTGTACCGGAGCCAGAAAGACCCTGAATTCAAATCCTAGTCCCACCATAACCTAGGTTTCTGCCTTTTGCAAATAGTGGGATGTCTTTGAGGCTTGGCTTCCTTCCAGGTAAAATGTGGATGATCAAGTTCCTGTTAAATGAGAAAATAACTGTAAAGTGTTCAGCATAGCAGCTGGTACTGGTGACAACGCCATCAGTGGTAGCTGCTGTCGTAAAATGTCTAAATCCGATTCCTCTAAGCAATGATTGCAAAGGAAAACAGTGGGACCCACATTTCAAAGCAAGCCTTCTTTTCCATTAAAGAAGGTAACATATTTGAAAATTCAAATGAATTCATGGAATTGGAAGTGGTCTGCAAAACTCTCTGGCCAATTTTTTCATTTTACTGTTGGGAAAATTGAAGAAGGAAATAAAAAATCTTTTGTGATTTAGATGTAGATGCACCAAAAAAAAAAAAGGTCTTAATTAATGGGAGGCTATTGGTCATTTTTTATATAACTGAAGATGAAGGCAGAGTTCAAAAATTACAGTTTATAGTTTCATGTGTGCATTAGAAATAATAAAGTTCCTCTGAAGAGATGTGTAACAGGCAGCTAGGCTTAGCTTTTGGTGAACTTGACCCGGTTCCATCACCTGAATTTACCCATTCACAAAGCAATCATACTTAATACAGCTCTTTGAAGCCTCATAGAGTACAAAATAAAATAGATTGAGGATAAACAGTGATTAGAAAGGATGTGCTTCTCCCAAGGCATAGCCAGGACACTCACCTGTCCAAGACCAAGTTAGGAGCAAACAGGAGCTTCCCGGGGTGCTCCATGGAGCGCCAGATGAGACCGATCATCAGGATCTCTAGCCAGGCACATTCCAGAAGGTGCACCTGATCGTGGAGGATCAAATCCCCAAAACCTGAAACACAGCAAGAAAATCCTGCTGAAATGAAAAGTATTCATCATTGGTAAGTTAATGTGACCAGGGATTTGGACTAGTAGTGTCTATTTTTCTATTCGATGGAATAAAGTATAATAGAAGCATACTTTATAGGAAAGTCAAGTGACTATTTTTTAAACCTAACTGTATCAACAGATTTTAATGTGGTTTTGAGTTTTTTAGTGCCTTAGTGTCACATCTACAGAAATGCACTAACTTATGCAACCCACTTAGCTTTCTGTAAAGTTCTTTACTATGTGTTAAAACTTGAATGCTTTCTACTTAGACATTTCTAATAGCTCTGTATGGCTGTTATTATGCATTTCTGTTTAGTTGATGAGGCTAAGATATAAGAAATTTAAATTACAATCTTAAACTAAACAAATTGGAACGCATGTAGGATCAAAGCCACTAAATGTCTATTCCTTTTGCTTTATCACTAAGCCATGGTCTTCACTATTAAGCCACAGTCATTTTCATAACATATGAAAGAATGATAAGTTAAATAGTACATGTGACCAAATAACTTAGGAGAATGAGTCAGATGAGAAAGAGTGACTGACGATTACTTCTGGGAAAAAGCAATGAAATATGTCCTTTTTTTCTAATGATTGACTAGAAGACTATAGCTTTTTCTAATCACTTCATGGCAACATGATGGAGGCCTAATAATAATAATAATGAGGAAGAGAAGAAAGAAGAAGAAAAGAAAGGAGAAAAAGAAAGGGGGAGATGACAAGGAAAAAAAACAAGACCGATTTACTGAGCCCCTTACTATGTGTTAGAAGCAATGCTAAGTCCTTCCTGTTCTCATTTCTTTTCATCTTTATTAATACAATAACCAGAAGAAACAAGAACTGATATCCCTATTTTATATCTAAAAAAACAGATAACACAGAATGTTCTGGGGGCAACAATGAAAACATAATCTTTAGGACCTGAACCCTTGACCACAATTAACAACAGCTCATCTGAGATTTGTTTAATTATAGAATTTGAATCAAGCAACTAAACAAGTCCAACAATTCAGTGACAGGAAGATTAAATAAGCAAGATACCCACAAAGTCTGCTCCTTCCTACAAAAGTGTGCTATAGTTTTTGCCTGAAGGTATCCAGTCATATTCCTTCCCCTCTCTGTTTATCTTAAACTTGTTGTTCCCTCTTATCCATGACAATGGAGCTAGGAGTCACAATTTTGTTGTTGTTGCTTTCTTCTTTGTTTTCTCTATTACTACATTTTATTAGCAATCTCTTCTTGTACTAATTAAAAAGCCAAAATGAAAGTTTATTTCTTTAAATAGTTAAGTATAAAATTTAATTTAAAAAAACCTTAACAGATTTTCTTCTTAGGACTTATGGAATAATCCAAAGCTCAGCATTAAACAATGTGCTTATCATTTCTTATATGTTTATGCACCAGATTTCATGTAATTGTTATCTCCAAATAGATGATGATTCATAGGGAGAAACTTAAGCCAGAGGCAGACCTCAGAGTCTACACACCTCTCTGGCCAGCATTTCATTTTCAAAAACCTCTTTAATTCTATGTCTGCAGTAATGAAAACTCTTCCTCTTTTTTTTATTCCCACTGATGGCAAACTCAGTATTTAAGTCTTTTGCATTTTTTTGTCTGACTCCTTTACCTCAGCATAATTACTTTAAGACTTATTCACATTGTTGCATCTATGAATATTTGATCCTATCTCTTGAGGAGTGGTATTCCATTATATGGATATAGCCAATAAATAAGTACCACTTTTTTACCATTTCATTTGACATTTTGGTTGGTCCCAGCTTTAGCCAAATTTTAAAAAAAAGCTATGTGAACAAGTTATGAATAAGTTTTTGTATGAACATACGTTTTCATTGGTTCTGACTAAATATTGAAAAGGGTGGTGGCTTGAAGAAACTGACAGTTTTCTAAAATGGTTGTTCCACTTTACACACCTACCATTAATACATGAGAGCAGAAGTCCTTCCATATCCTTGACAGTACTTGAGTCAGTCTTTCATTTTAAACATTCTAAGAGGTACAAAGGCATCACACTGGCATTGAGGTTGTAATTTACATTTTTAAATGACTAACAATGTTGAACATGTTTACACAAATTTCCACCATATCACTTTGTCACACCATGTTCAAGTTAATTATGCATGCATCTGTAAGCCCTGCTAGACTGTGTACTCATTGGAGGCACAAAATGCATGATTCTACCAAATCCTTCTTTTTAAATCTCAAATTTATTGCACCTCCCTATATCACTAAGACATTCCAAGGTCCATGGCAGCAAAGCAGAAATCTTTCCATAGGAAAGAGTGGGTTCCACTCATGTAACTCAGGACAGGGATCTGTAGAAGTGAGAAAGCAAATGGCTTTGTTCATAAGAAAAGCTGAAAGACTAAAAAGTAATGATTTGGTTTGAGAACCACCTGGGAGGGCAGGAACAGATACTTCTACAATGTACAGCTGTTTACCTACAGAGTGCATTGGGTCAAGGGGACCAGTCTTGCTCCAAGAGAGACACTTCCTGGATCTGCCAAAAATGCTTCTTTCCCATTGTCTAATAAGCCAATCCAAATCCAGTGAGCAGAAAATGAAATAAAAGTCCTCAAGGAAGCCTTAATTCTCTAATATTTCACCTTTTTTGGATTAAAGCCTCATAACAGTAATGGGAATTTATCCTGTAAATTAAACTCACTCAGAAATGTTAACACTCAAACATGGTACTTTTCTCCTCTCCTCACATTCCCTGTTTTATGTACACAAAAATGTAACAATGATGAAACCTACCCTCTGTTTTCACTTCATTACATAAGACTCAAAATATTATACTGGATGGGATCAGAGAATGTCTCCCAAGTTCTCGGAAGAGCAGTTGGCACATAACCAACCCACTTTGGGAAACCAAAGGCCTGCTTTCTGGTGGAAACTTCACATTTAAATGCAATCATACTTTTTAACTCTTACTTTAAAACTTCAGTACTATTTTGTAATGGTTTCAGTGATCTTTTGGAAGCCAAAGAAGCTCCCCTCAACCATTTGTACCATATAAGCACAATGATAATGAAAGCTATCTGAGGGAAGTCTGTTAGTAATAATTTGCAGTTGGGCCAGGGATTTAGCTCAGTGGTTCCACCACCTGCCTCGCAAGCACAAGGACCTGAGTTCAATCCCCAGTACCATTAATAATAATAATAATAATAATAATAATAATAATTTGCAGTTGGAGGCCAGCAGGATGGCTCCATCTTTCTGTCAAAATGTTGTAGATCTCTCAAAAAGAAACTCTATTTAATTGTCTCACTCAGCAGTACATACTGCCTGCAGACAGTGTTATTATGTGTGTTGTGCAGTGTCATCTGCAAGTCCCTATGACAAGGCTGGGAGATCACACAGAAAAGACTGTCAATTAACCCTTCCCAATGAATACAAGGCCAATGAAAGGAAGTTATTGGATGGAGTGTCTCCTTTATTCTAATAATATTATTTTAATAATATTATTCTCAATATTCTTTTAACCACACTGGAGCTAAAGACCCTTTTGGTGTAGTCCATGAATACTTTCAGTTTGTGGCTGATGGAGAAAAAATAATGTAATAAATCCCAAATAGAACAATCTTGGGTCAACTATCTGTAGACATCAAGTTTCAATTCTTTTACTTATTTTCCTTATGAATATGAAGACTGTTCTGACATGTAACTGGAAATGGATCTGCTATAATTTAGAGACATTCAAATTTAAAATCTCATTTTAAATCTCTTTTGAAGACTTTTACAGGTTCAATAGGAAGATGTTGGTTTAGCAGTTGAATAAGATGAGTGATGATTGAGTGACAAATATTCCCATCGGTGGCCCTCGAGAGATGACTCACACCTTGACAACAATGATAACACAGATGTGGGCCTGTGGAGTCCCCACCAGAGTGACTGAATGCAAGCCTACAAAGCAGTAACAGTAGCTTATGGAGATAAAGCTAAATCAGATGTTAGTAATCTCATTTTATAAAATACAAATGTTTACAAAGCAAACATATCCCTCATCCACATTCACAGGCCTAGTAATAAAGTTGTGAGGCATGGAATATACTGGAAACAGAAAGGTCCCACCTTATTTAGGTCCCACTCATTTACTCTCCACCCCTGTATGAGCAGTGAGACAGCTAATGATCTGAGAGAGTTCTCTTTCATAGAAAAAGACAGCACCCCCTATAACACACAACTAGTTCATTATCTTCAGTATCATCATCATGTAAAGACACACCTGCCTTCCACTCTCTACTGTATAGTAACTGCTTTTCCTCCAATTTATTTTTACTTAGCTTTGGCAGTAACAGGAGCCAATGGCATGTCCACCTCCCTTCCTTGGACTTCACAAGATCCTGAGCCCTCTGCTCTGCTAGGGATTTCTGTACAAATTGCTTAATTGCCTTGGCACAAAAAGGGATCCTAAGGCCTTACCCTCCCTTACGGGATATTGCCAAATTCTTAGAAATGATGTTGAAAGGTATACAGAGATGACCCTTAGACAAAATGACTAATGCAATCTGAATGCTTATGAAATTTCTTGTTGCCTTGAAGTAAAAGATAAATCATGCGGCTCTTCAGTAGTGACAGGTAAAAAAATTCAGCACTATAGCAATTCTATTTCCTATTTGCATGAGATATAATCTATGGAAATATATAGCTGAATGGAAGCCTAGTAAAAAAAAAAAGCAACATTTTCTGGGGAAGTGCTATACACAAACCTAGAAGCCAAGGGATTAGCTTGTCCTAGTAAATCTACTGGAAAAACTATTGGTTTTCTGACCTTCAAGCAAATTAATCATGTCCTCATCTGAGCATAGTGTTCTCCAAAATATGTTATAAAATTGTTTGCTGCATTTTTGTGTGTTACCTTTATTACTCAATGGAAGAGGAGTTGGATATTCTTACCTTCTTTCTTCAGTGACAAAGTCTCAGTATAGGAGAAAAGTAAAA